CCAAAATCAATATTATAACCATACAACTTGAACAAATAGAAAAAGAACAGCAAAGGAAGCCCACAGCCACCAGAAGAAAGGAAATAATAAAGATTAGAGCAGAAATAAACAAATCAGAAAACAGAAAAACAATTGAAAGAATCAACAAGACTAGAAGTTGGTTCTTTGAAAAGATTAATAAAATTGATAAACCACTGGCCAAACTGACAAGAGAAAAGAAGAAAAAGATACAAATAACCCAAAGAAGAAATGAGATGGGTTACATTACAACAGAACCAACTGAAATGAAAAGGATCATTACAGAATATCATGAAAAATATATACTCCAACAAATTTGAAAACCTAGAAGAAATGGACAAATGTCTAGAAACACACTACCTACCAAGCTAACACAAACTGAGGTAGAAAATCTGAACAGACCCATAACAAAAGAAGAAACTGAAGAGGTCATTAAAAAAAACCTCCCAACAACAACACCACCAACAAAAATCCCTGGCCCAGATGGATTCACTGGAGAATTCTACCAAACATTCAGACAAGAGCTGACATCAATACTACTCAAAATATTCCAGAACATAGAAAAGGAATGAGTACTCCCGAATATATTTTATAAAGCCAGCATAACCCTGATGCCAAAACTAGGGAAAGACACCATTAAAAAAGAAAACTATAGACTAATATCCCTCATGAATATAGATGTAAAAATTCTCAACAGTATTCTAGCCAATAGAATACAAAGGCATATCAAAAAAATAATACAGCATGACCAAGTGGGATTAATACCAAGTATGCAAGAATGGTTCAGCATTAGAAAATCAATCAGTGTAATCCCCATATAAGTAAAACAAAGAACAAGAATCACATAATCATCTCAATCGATGCAGAAAAGGCATTTCATAAAGTCCAACACCTATTTTGATAAAAATTCTCAGCAAAATAGGAACAGAAGTGAAATTCCTCAACATAATTAAGTGCATATATACAAAATCAACAGCCAACATTATTCTCAACAGAGAGAGACTGAAAACATTCCCCTTGAGAACAGGAACCAGACAAGGATGCCCTTTATCACCACTCTTATTCAATATTGTACTAGAAGTCCTAGTTACAGCAGCAAGGCAAGAAAGGGAAATAAAGCGCATACGAATTGGTAAGGAAGGAGTAAAACAATCCCTATTTGCAGATGATATGATTATATACACAGAAAATCCCAGAGACTCCACAAGAAAGCTACTGGAACTAATAGAAGAATTTAGCAAAGTGGCAGGGTACAAGATAAACATACAAAAATCAGTTGGATTCCTCTACACCAACAAAGAGAACCCAGAAACGGAAATAAGGAACACAATACCGTTTAAAACAGCCCTCAAAAATATAAAATACTTAGGAATAAAGCTAACTAGATACAAAGAAAACTCCAAAACACTACTGCAAGAAACCAAAAGAGACCTACACAAATGGAAAAATATACCATGTTCACGGATGGGAAGACGTAACATTGTGAAAATGTCAATACCACCCAAAGCAATCTACAAATATAATGCAATCTTAATCCAAATGCCAACATCATTTTTTAATGAGATGGAAAAACTTATCATCAACTTTATATGGAAAGGAAAGAGGCCCTGGATAAACAAAGCATTACTGAAGAAGAAGAACAAAGTAGGGGGCCTCACACTCCCTCATCTCATAACCTACAATATAGCCATGATAGTCGAAACAGCCTGGTACTGGTACAACAACAGACACATAAACCAATGGAACAGAATTGAAAATCTAGACATAAATCCATCCATGTCAGCTTATCTTTGACCAAGGGCCAAAGTTCATTAAATGGGGAAGAGACGGTCTCTTTAACAAATGGTGCTGGCAAAACTGGATAACCATTTGCAGAAAAATGAAACAAGATCCATACCTCACACCATACACAAAGACTAACTCAAAATGGATCAAAGACCTAAATGTAAAACCTAAAAATATAAAGATCATGGAAGAAAAAATAGGAACAACACTAGGAGCCCTAATATATAGTATAAATAGAATACCAAACATAACTAAAAATGCACAAAGAGCAGAAGATAAACTAGATAAACTCAATAACCAAGATCTACTAAAAATTAAATACTTGTGCTCATCAGAAGACTTCACCAAAAGGATAAAAAGAGAACCTATAGACTGGGGGAAAAATCTTTATCTATGAAATATCTGACAAGGGTCTAATCTCTAAAATTTATAGAAAACTTCAATACCTCAAAAACAAAAAGATAAACAACTCAATTAAAAAATGGGCAAAGGACACGAACAGACACTTTACCAAAGGAGACATTCAGGCGGCTAACAAACACATGAAGAGATGATCACAATCATTGGCCATTAGAGAGGTACAAACCAAAACTACAAAGAGATACCACCTCACCCCAGCAATAATTGCACTGATTAAAAAAAGAAAACAATAAATGCTGGTGAGATGGTGGGGAAATTGGAACTCTTATACACTGCTGGTCAGAATATAAAATGGTACAACCACCACGGAAAATGGTATAGAGCTTCCTTAAAAAGCTAGAAATAGAAATACCATATGATTCAGCAATCCTACTCCTAAGTATATATCCTAGAGAAATAAGAGCTGCGACAAGAATAGACATATGCACCCCCATGTTCATTGCAACATTATTCACAACAGCAAAAAGATGTAAATAACCTAAGTGCCCATCAACAGATGAATGGATAAACAAACTGTGGTACATACACACAATGGAATACTACACAATGACAAAGAATAATGATGAATCTGTGAAACAGCTTCTCTTAGTCATCTAGTGCTGTTCCAACAGGAATACCACAAGTGGATGGTTTTAACAAAGAGAAATTTATTCTCTCACAGTCCAGTAGGCTACAAGTCCAAATTCAGAACATCAGCTCCAGGGGAACACTTTCTCTCTTGGCTCTGGAGGAAAGTCCATGTCATCTGTCTTCCTTTGGTCTGGGAGCTTCTCTGTGCAGGAACCTCAGGTCCAAAGGACGCGCTCTGCTCCCAGCACTGCTTTCTTGGTGGTATGAGGTTCCCATGTGTCTCTGCTCGCTTCTCTCTTTTATATCTCAAAAGAGATTGCATTAAGACACTGATCTTGTCAACCTCATCAGTATAACCTCATCATAGTGGTAGAGTTTACAACACATAAGGAAATCACATCAGATAACACAATCATACAATACTGGGAATCATGACCTAGTCAAGGTGCTACACACATTTTTGGGGGGACACAATTCAATCCATGACACATCTCATAACATAGACGAATTTGGAGGACTTTACACTGAGTGAAATAAGTCAATCACAAAAGGACAAGTATGAGAACACTGTTATAGTCAAGAAAAGAATTACACACAGAAAGAAACGTTTTTTGATGGTTACCTGGGATGGGAGGTGGAGGAAAGGGAAATCACTAACTACAGAGTAGACACATGTTAACTCTGGTGAAAGGAAAGGCAGTACACAACATGGGGGAAGTCAGCACAACATGACCAAGGCAAGAGACGACACTGAGAGGTACACAAGAATGAAAGGCAATGAAGGTAAATACTATAACATATACAATCCTGCAACAACAGTAATAATAATTTATGAGTGGATACATAGGTAGATATGTATGCTGAATAGGTGTAGGAGAGTGTATGGGAGTACATCCATGTGCATATATAGGTTTGGCTGTGGATATGTCTACATACATACTTGTATGTGCTGCATGTATATTCGTAAATATAATAGAGCGCATAAGGGACACAGTCATGGAAACAGCCTAGACATATCCAAACACCTCATAGAACTGAGTTACTGGGCTTGAAAGCTAAGGCTCATAGTCTGGGGGGACATCTAGGTCAACTGGCATAACGTAGTTCATAAAGAAAATATTCTATATCTTACTTTGTTGAGTAGCATCTAGGGTCTTAAAAGCTTATAAGCAGCCATCTAAGATACGACTATTGGTCTCTTTCCATCCAGAGCAAAGGAGAGTGAAGAAAACCAAGAACTCAAGGAAACAATTAGCACAAAGGACTATTGGACCACAGGAAGCAACCACAGCCTCCATCAGCCTGAGACCAGAAGAACTAGATGATGCCTGGCTACCACTACCGATCACTTTGACCAGCATCACAATCGAAAATCCCGGGTAGAGTGGAGGAAAAAAAAATATGTAGAACAAAATTCAAATTCATAAAAAAGACCAAGTTTACTGGTCTGAGAGAGACTGGAGGAACCCCTGAGACTATAGCCCTTAGACACCCTTCTAACTTGGAACTGAAGCCATTTCCAGAGACCACCTTTCAGCTAAATAATAGGCCTATAAATAAACAGAAACACACATGAGGAAAGTGCTCCTTAGAACAATCATCTACATGAGACCAAAAGGACAACATATGCCCAGAAGTAAAGATGAGAAGGCAGGAAGGGGAAGGAAAACCCAAAGAATGGAAATGGGGAACTCAGGGTGGTAATGGGGAGAGTACTGACATACTGCGGGGATTACAACTAATGTCACGGAACAATTTGTGTATAAACTATTGAATGGGAAACTAATTGATCTGTAAACTTTCAACTAAGGCACAGTACAAATAAATAAATAAATAAAGAGATCACCGAGGCCAAGTACCGTCACTCCTGGTATGTGATCATGCTCATATATGTTAAGAACGTTGACTTGACTTCAGCTACCTTTTGTTGAGGGTTTATTGAGTCAGTTACCACACTAGATGCTTTACATGCATTCTCTCTCATTCTTACAATAATCTCAATATATAAGTATTATTATTCACATTTTATAGGCGAGGGCACTGAGGCACAGAGAAGTTAAGTCCCCTGCCCAAAGTCACATAATTGCTCAGTGGGTGTTGCTGAGATCTGAACCCAGAGCTACCTGACACCAGCACTTGTTTTTATACCATCAAAACTGTTGACGATGAGAGGTGGATCCAGGGAAGGGATAATCTGGGCTACATACCTCATACAATTCAATTATGATATTTCCCATTAGACCTCGGCTACTCTTAATGTTCTCCATGGCCAGAGTGAAGTAGATCCCGCGTGTGTCTGAGATGTAGAGGTTGTAGGTGTCATTCTGGTTCCATTCTTGGACCGCTGCAAACACTTGGTTCTCATCTGTGCTGATGATGTGCATGTCCTGCAAGAAGACAGAAGGCCTGTGAGAAAGCAGATCTCCGTATCTCTCTGCTCACCTGGATCCAGTGTAATTACCATGACTTATGAAATGGTTGAGAAAAAACTTGAGTTATAGGCAATGTTAGACAATTCTGTGTTAGACCAAGGCTATAAATTATGAGCATCATGATTTCTGTTCCCTGCTAAGTGACAGCGAGATGGGTGTAAGGGGCTTTGGTGGGTATCATTTTCCATGGCTTCAAGGGATTCATCCACTTTCATTTTTTATTTTAATGTCTGAAAGTTAGTGCTAACAGAGACATATAGCCTTAGGGTAGGAAACTCACAAATGCAAAGAAGACAAGGCTTATTGCTTCTCCAGATCTTAATTTATGTTTTCAAATTTTGCAGTGTGACGGTCTTCAAAATTTCCAGAGTCATGCAGATTGCAACAGGGATGGAGTGGAGGCAGAGTCAACAGAATCTGAACCTTCAAACCCTGCTTCCACCAGAGCAGTGCCACTTAAATCTGTTTTATATACTGGAGTTATACTGGACTGTTGTGCAATATTTTAGGAATAAAAAGTGAGAGACATTCTACTGCTAATAAAATAAAATAATATTTGAAAATTACTGATACAGAGGAAACGATACTCAATCTGGAATTTAGTGTCTGGAGTCATATTATTAGCCCTGCTATAAGTCACCTGCATGATCTGAATGAATTAGTATCCTTGGACTTCAATTTTTCTACGTAAAAATTAAAGAGATTGGGCTACTACTACAAGTAGCTAACATTTAGGTACTATTCTGAGTCATCTAAATGTGTTATATCAATTAAAAATCAAACTAATTTTACAATGGAGCTAGTATGATTATTACCATTTTACTGAAATTTTACCATGGAAAGGCATTCGACTGTGTGGATTATAACAAATTATGGATAACACTGCAAAGAATGGGAATTCCAGGACACTTAATTGTGCTCCTGAGGAACCTGCATATAGGCCAAGAAGCAGTCGTTCGAACAGAACAAGAGGATACTGCATGGTTTAAAATCAGAAAAGGTGTGCATTTGTGTTGTAACCTTTCACGATAGTTATTTAATCTGTATGCTGAGCAAATAATCCGAGAAGCTGGACTATATGAAGAAGAATATGGCATCAGGATTGGTGAAAGACTCATTAATCACCTGCAATATGCAGATGACACAACCTTGCTTGCTGGAAATCAAGAAGACTTGAAGCATTTACTGTTGAAAATCAAAGGCTACGGCCTTCAGTATGGATTACACCTCAATATAAACAAACAAACAACAATCCTCACAACTGTACCAATAAGCAACATCACAATAAATGGAAGAAAGGTCACCATTGTCAAGGATTTCATTTTACTTGGATCCACAATCAACGGCCATGGAAGCAGCAGTAAGAATATCAAATGGCATATTGCATTGGACAAATCTGCTGCAAAAGACCTCTTTACAGTGTTAAAAACCAAAGATGTCACTTTAAGGACTAAGGTGTGCCTGACCTAAGCAATGTTATTTTCAATGGCCTCATATGAATGCAAAAGCTGAAAAATGAATAAGGAAGACCGAAGAAGAATCGATGCCTTTGAATTACGGTGTTGGTGAAGAATACTGAACATACCATAGACTGTCAAAAGAATGAACAAGCCTGTCTGGGAAGACACATACCCAGAGTGCTCCTTGCAAGCGAGGATGATGAGACTTCATCTCACGTACTTTGGACATGTTATTAGTGGGGAGCAGTCTGTGGAGAAGGACATCACGCTTGGTAAAGTAGAGGTTCAGCGAAAAAGAGGAAGACCCTTGACAAGATGGACTGACACAGTGGCTGCAACAATAGGCTCAAACATAACAAAGCTTGTGAGGGTGAAGCAGGACTGGGCAATGTTTCGTTCTGGTGTAGATACTGTCGCTATGAGTCGAAACTGACTCAACGGCACCTCACAACAACAACAATTGAAAAGTAAAGGAAGGCATACAGATACTAAGCAACTTGCTTCAGCTTACTTAGCAATGTCAGGTTTTAAAACTCTGACTCTAGAGCCTGAGCTTCTAATTATTAGGATAACAGTTAAGAGCTAGGCTGCCAAGCAAAAGGTGGGCAGTTTGAATCCACCAGCTGCTCCCTGGAAACCCTACGGGGCAGTTCTACTCCGTCCTACAGGGTTGCTATGAGTCAGAAATGACTCAACAGCAATGGGCTTTTTTTTTAACTGCCTCTAAATCAGGGACAGAGCCCTGGTGGTGCAGTGGTTAAGAGCTGGGCTGCTAACCCAAAGGTTGGCGGTTTGAATCCACCAGCCGCTCCTTAGAAACCCTATGGGGCAGTTCTATTCTGTCTTATAGGGTCGCTATACGGCAGTAGTGACTCAAGGGCAACAAATCAGGGGCTGCAAATCACCAACTTCTGAAATGAATAGGGACCACAAATGTTTATTTTAACCACAACCTGTACTGAATACTTGAATTTGTGGTCTTTTAGGAGAAGCCAATACTCACTGGCATCTCAGCTCTGTATACTCACATGTTCTTAGATCTGCCACTTACATACTGATGCTAATTTCCTGGCACCGGAAATCACTTTCATTTGTAATCCTGGACTGGACAATTTCTAAAATCAAACCTAGCAGTCCACAATTCAAAATACTTTAGAAAAGCCAGTTTGCATGTGTGGCTATGCATTGTATAAAGATTATTACAAACTCAAGCACTTACCTAGGGAACTGACACTGTCAGGAGGACATTTTGACATGCATAAACATTTGACAAGATGGGAGCAGTTGAAAGATGCATAACTAGACAGGTGTATATGCCAAAATGTAACAGCATCCCAAGACAGCAGAAGGCGAGGAACCCTTGGCACTATGGTGGAAAGCACTGGTAATAGAGGCATGGGCAATAGCCAAAGGAGTTGAGAGTAAGCAAATGACCAGGCTGGTTTGAGCCTCTATTTGATCTATTTTTTCCAGAAATGCTTTCAACAAGTAAAAGGAGGCAGCAACATCTATAAGGATTCCCTGGGAGATGCAAACAGTTAATGTGTTCTGCTGTTAACCGAAAGCTTGGGGTTCCAATCTACCCAGAGGTACCTTGGGAGAAAGGTCTGGCAATCTACTTCTGAAAAATCAGCCACTGAAAACTCTGTTGAGCAAAGTTTTACTCTGACCCATACAGGGTCAGCATGAGTTGGAATTGACTCGATGGCAACTGAACTGGATTGGACTGGAAGTCCAATTGATTTGGACAACTGGGAGGTGGGAGAAGTGGGAGAACAAATTCTGGATCTTTATACTGAAGATTCTCTGTCACGTCTTAGCCTGTGGACTTGAACTCTCCAGATCACCTTGACTAAGACCTTACTTGTTCATTTGTGCTTATCTACCTTGTAGAATTATGGGCTCCTGCTGAGCTGCTTGAAAATAGAAATAAGGCTTCCTCTTAAAAACCATGTGATGAGATCCTGTTGAGTTGGTGTGGAATGAATTCCCAAAAACCCAGTAGGAGGGGAAATAGCAGCTGCAGGAAATACGAATTAAATTCACTTATCCTGTTAAAAATGCAATAGAAATGCCTAGCTTTCCCCAGATGTTTTGGTCATAAAAATGAGTGAGCTAAGCTATTTTAGACTAAACTAATGTCCAAGAAGTGGAAAGAAAACAACTTAAAACACTGGTGCATGGTCAGGATGAGAGGCAGACAGGTTTGCTGTGAGCGCAAATTAGATTAGTGCTACCCTCATGCTCTCTCACCTAGTGAACAGGGACTCCAGGCTCAGGGATGCGAGACTGCTCTCTAGTGTCTAGGATGCTGGGATGTCTATCTGAGAAATACCTAATTTGCCAAAAGTCACTTAACTAATAATAAGTGATATTACTAATATTTAACCCCAAGATTACCTGAATCAAGAGACTTAACCACATCAGTAGGGATAAAACTTCGGTGTCCATCAAAATAAGCTTGAGATCTTAAAAACATGCAGACCCATAGGTCCCATTGCCTGATATTCTGATTCAGCATGTCTGGTATGGAGCCTTAGATTCTACCATTTGAACAAGTCTATCAGATGATTCTAGTGCGTGTAGTCAGGAAAACTCTGAACTATGAAACCTCTCTCCAAATAGGTCTTATGGTTGAATAGAGGTCAATCAATAATAACAAGAACATTAAGTCTTCAAGAACAAAGAAAAGCATGATTAATTAAAAATTGGGATCTAAACAATAAATAACTTATTTCTTGAATCCTGCTGCCTTAATCTAACTCCAAAGGATGTGCCGCCTCCTTACTCAGACTTTCTTGCTAGTCTTCAGAATTTTCAGGGAGAAATTTGGATGGCGATGAAGCGAGAAACTGAAGGAGGGAAAATACAATAAGAATCAATATTGATTGAGACTTTACTAAACTCAGAATCTGCAAAACGTCAGACATAACCCCATATGTATTTTTTTTTTTTTGGAGGAACAATTATAAATAAATAATCTTCCTCTCTGTTGACCAAAACCATTAATTGGAGAGACTCATCGTTGCTTTTTGAAAACCAAAATCTTTGACTTCCTAGGTGAACAATGGTGAAAACACTTTGCTGTTACTGATGGATTTTCCTGTAATCTGGGCCCATTTAGAAAGTTCCTGAAATGCTTCTCCTGGGCTAATATATGAAGACCATTGTGTTACTGTGAGGGGGCACTCCCCTTTTGAAAGACATGACTATGATTTGTCCATTCCTTGTCGTCTCCAAGCTGAAATACCTCTTTCCTCCTTGAGTTTAGAGTATACTGATGGGAGCATCCTGCAACCACAATACTATACAATGGTCCCATAAAAGCCAACGGCAAAGAGCGTAGAGAAAATGAGAAATTGGGTCCCACGACCCCCGAAGCGACTTGATATGGTCCCAGCCCACCTCACCAGCCTCTATCCACCTCACTCTCTGCAATCCAATCTCTGGAGGTTTTTTTCCCCCAGTTAGTTAAATAAACCACGCCCTTTCTTAAAACAGGGCCTGTGCACGTGTTTTCTATCAGCCCTCCACCTTCCACATGCCAGGTTAACTCCTTACATCCTTCTTGTCTCAGCTTAAATATTACTTTCTTTAGGAAACTTGCCCTCACTACCCATATCTGGATAGCTCCATCTTTTACGTCCCAGTGGCCCTTGAACTTCTATGCCTGTAACACTCTTACACCTATAATTACTTGTTTAGCGTCTCTCTTCTCTGCCAGAATATAATCTCCATGAAGGCAAGGACCATCTGCGTCTTATACACTATTCTATCCACAAAGCTTAGCTCAGTGCCTGACACAGTAAGAACTTGAATGGAAGAAAGGGTATTTGGATGGTTGAATAAAAGAAGTAACGAATGAATGAATGAATAAATCTATGTATGAATAACTAAATGAGTAAAAACAACCAGGGCAATAAATAATTGCCCACCGTGTTATTCCATAATTCCTCCCACTTCTGTACTCAGCCTTTCACAACATGTCTTAGCACCAGCTTAGAGACCCAAGTCTTTGCAACATCAGCCCTGATATGTGTCCATCCTGGGATCTTGCTGCTCTGCAATTTCATTAGGTGATGCAACTGTATCCCATCCATGTTTACTTTAAGGTTCTAAGATCCATCTCCCCACAGAAGCCAATGTGCACAAGGGATACTGCCTACTGAGTGTCATGATTTTCCAACACAAGAGTTAAAATGCTATCATTTGATATTAACTTTCTAGTAAATTATCCTTTTTAAATTACTTATTTTGTCAGGATGGTGGGCAAAAACAGAGACAGCGTTATTTATATTTAGCCTTGAAACGTAAAGAGAAGCAAGAAAACCATCAGACTCACTTGCGCACTTTCACACATGCCCACACAGAGCGGCTCTGCTCCCGCCTGTACCACTGCAAGTTTGTCCTATTGGGCAGGAAGACCCTTGCCCAAGGGAGGGGCCCTCAGAAGAGATTCCAAAGCTAGTTCTCCTTTCACTATCTCCCCTGGAAATGACCCAAGGTTATACCAGATGTTTGAGTCCTGGGAAATCAAAGCTCTTGTCTGGGTACCCTGCTGAGAGCCGAATACAGAGCCCAGGTTCAGCGCCATCAGCAGAGGCCAAACTCCACAGTGATAAGTCAGGTTGAATGCCACCAGTCCTCCCAGTCAGGGATCAAACCACCCTGCAGCCCAACAAGGCAACCTCCCCAACCCTCACTTTGTCTGGCACGACTTGGGACAGCAGATAGTGTGGTACCTTCGGCAGAGAGTACTTGGGCAGCTTTATCTGAGCAAAGGCTTCTCTTCGATAGGACACGTAGTAGCTGGCTCTTCCACCAGTTGTCACCTGGATCATGGGGGAAACACAAAGCAATCAGATGGGTCACAGCTCATGTCACATATTGGAAAGTACTGACCTCTGCATCAACAGCCACAATAGGTTTGTGACAGCCTTTTACAGACAATCCCTTGCTGATTTTGAGCTTCCGATCCCATGGAACAAAGAACTGTTCCCTTGTCATGCCACTTAGATAATAAATGGGCAATTACAACAGTCTTGCCCACTGGCCGGCATTCTCTGTGAGAGCAGGGACTCTGTATTTGTTCACTGTGCTCTGAATATGGTACACAACTAATAAATATTTTCAAATGAATGAGAACAGAGAAGCTGTCAATGTGGGCTGTACCCATGATCTCTTTATTCTGCCTCTAAAAAAAAAAAAACAGTTTATTAATCTATTGCAATCATGACAATCTTATCAAAGATATTTTCCCCTGAATCTGAATAATTACTATTGCTCTGAGTTTTCATTACTTGGCAATCTAATTTCACTTCTGACCTGACAACACATTTTTTTTTTCCCTTCATATTTACAAAGCATGCATTAAGCAGATATTTATTGAGTCTTTCCATGTGCAAGTTACTAAAAGTCATCAAAAATCTGAGAAAAAACCCAAGATTTCAAATTCAGAAATCCTGGGTTTGAATCGTAGCTCCACTGTTTCACGGTTAGCGGGTCACGGGCAAGCTCTGTAACCTCACATGGGAAAGGATAGATTCATAGAGGAACCTGAAAACCACTCCAGGAAATGATCCAGTGGCCTGGGCTTGCTAAAAGTCCTGCCAACATGGCAGAGCTCTTGCAGATGGCTGCTCTCGGTCCAATTATCCTAACTCAGGGGAAATTAATAGTCACAGGAGAAGCCAGCATGGCCTGATCAGAGAAAATAGCAGGACAACAATAGCAACCAGGCTGCTGTTCTGAGGAGGCAATTACTTGGAGGCACATGCTCCATTCTCACTGAGGTCCCAGCCCAAGCTGGAGGTTGGCCAGTCTTCCCACTCCAGCCAAAGCTGGCTCCTGTCCACAGCAGCTGCTGGGAGGTCAAGGGGTCTAACATCTCTATTGCAATCTACCTACTGCTCCTCACTCTGAGTGATGGCATCTCCCAGGGCTTCTCCTTGCTCTGCACAGATTGGAAGCCCACAAAGCAGGCACCACAAGCTGCCAAGTAGAGCAGATGTCAGCACGAAGGCAGAACCTTGGAAAACACTTGGTGCAAAGGCTTAGGCTGTGAACCAGGAGTGGAGACTGGCTTTCTCCCTGATGTTCAGCACCATGCCTAGGTCTCTATTTTCTAGTTAGAATCATTCTTGTCTTATAGTCCAGGATTTTTTTTTTTTTTTTTTTGGATAAGACATCTGTTCTGAAGCTACATTTTTCCATGTTGGCTGAGAGGTGGAGTGCTGACATAGTAAGATCAATGAGTTGCTGAGAAATCTTTTGTTTTTTCTTTTTGGTTTGTTTTCTTTTTCAAATCAGTCTCAAAAGCACGTTAAAATATAATCCTAGGCTCTTGACACACAGTCAGTATTAGTCCTTGCGTGGCCCTATTTAATTTTGGTTTTTATCTTCAATTATAGAAGGAACATATATAAACATACCTGGGAATCCAGGAACTACGTCAGTATTTTATAAACTTTAACATGCATCAGAAACATGTGGAAAGCTTGTTAAAACTCAGACTGTTGGGTCCCACCCCCAGAGTTTCTGAGTGGACAGACCTAGGGTGGGACCCAAGAACTGGCATTTCTAAGTTTCCAGAGGATGCTGTTGCTATGGTCTGGGGTCCACACTTTGAGCACCACAGAATTAGATCATTAACAACAACTTACATGTACCTCTGTGTGCCTCACCTATCCTCCCAGTCCCCTTCCCAGATGTAGTGACCTTCCTGAATTTTGTGTTTACAATGATGGTAAAGATTTTTTTAAATTGAGGTGAAATCCACATAATATTAACCATTTTAAAGTGTACAAATCAGTGGCATTTAGTACAATCACAATGTTGTGTGACCATTACCTCTCAGTCCTAAAACATTTCCATTAATCACAAAGGCTCTGTACCTGTGATAAAGTTGTTTTTTTTTTATAGTCCTAATCCTTGAAACCCCCATGATAAAGTTTTTAAACCCCCAAATATTTCCTCTGATCACCCATCACATGCTTAAAAACCCAGATCTCTATAGAACAACTCAACCTCACCAAACATGCCTTGGGAAAGGCGACAGACTTCAGAAAAAGCAAGTCTCTTCACTGGATGCTGGCCAGAGATCAGCAATTAAAAGACGCTTCTCCTGAGAAGACCCCAGGGACCTCCACAGGGAACAATATGGTAGCACAGCCAGGCCTCTTAATTGCATCACAGAGCAAGGCTGAGCACCTTGGGGTTTACAAATCACTGAAGAATAGAGGAGAAGAATACAGCAGTCCTCTTGATAGAGTGATGGGCCCCATAGCCTTGGCAACTCAGTCTAGTCATGCCTACTACAGCCCCATGCAAACACAGAATCTCTCTCTTTCTTACACACACATGCGCTTGCACATGTATACAACCTGGGAAAATCTGTGCTTCAGCACATAATGCAGATGGAAATTACACTTCAGATGCATTGTGGAGTGATCCAAAATATTAAAGGGTTATATGAAGCCCAAGAAGTCCAGAGCCTCTCTGTACACCTCTGATATCATCAGTCGCCCCTAGAGATACAAGGTGGCTCCTGCTCTCTTCCTTTGTCCTGACTGTGTCCTTCTTTGCATCTGTCAAAATCCAATTGATGCTTTAAACCTTAGTGTAAGTCCCATGAGTTGATGGATGGGTTTTTTGGATGCCACCAATTCACTATAATTTCTCTCTTCCGATTCCTGAACTTTACTCTTTCCATTTCTGCAGTACTTTCAATGTTTACTCTTGTAATACACATATTCCTATAATTATTCCTCTGTGTCTTATTACAGGGTTATAAGCTCCTTGATTCATAGGCAGTGCTGGTCTCACAGCAGGTGATTAGTGGATACATAATAATAAAAATAACGATAAAGCTGGCATTTATTGAGTTCATCTACCATGCTCCAAAACTGCATGCAGCCCTTATATAAATTATTTGCTGTAATCCTCATGACATCCCCACAGAGGCTGAGAGGCACTGAGTGACTTGCTCATGATAAGACCAATGTGAACCTAGGAAAGTTTAGCTCAAAGCTCACACTCCTCCCCATGACCAGCTAGAAATAGTCCTTCATGTATCTCACTCACCTTGCTGCAACAACAATACAACTATCTTTTTACTCCAAACTAAAAACATGAAAAAAAAACTTCTGTAAGTGGCGCACATGTATAGACGTTTCTGTTTCTCCCTATTCCCAGAAAATCTGTTACGACATTGATGCTGCATCTAAAATGGATGTCTTCTTAGAAAAGACCAAAAACCAAACCAAACCCATTGCTGTCGAGTTGATTCTGACTCATAGCGACCCTAAAGCACAGGGCAGAACTCCCCCATAGGGTTTCCAAGGAGCAGCTGGCGGATTCAAACTGCTGACCTTTGGTTAGCAGTTGAGCTCTTAATCACTAAGCTACCAGGGCTCCTCTTAGAAGAAAGGAGATGTATTGGACAAGTTATGTGATCTCTCTCAGTCTTCTTTTTTTTCCTTAGAAGAGAGAAGATAATAACAAAAAAAGAGTAATAATAACTAATACATCCATGCAGCGATTGCTTGTAACATGGGAAATACTATGACAAGCAGTTTCAAACCATAGCTCATTTGATTCTGATGATATATATCTCAATATATATCAGTAATACCCCTCCTTTACAGAGCAGAACATTGAGACTGAGAGGGATCAAATAACTTGTCTAATATCACACAGCCTTAAATTGTCACAGCCAGAATATGAACCTGAGCTTTCTGACTCCAATCTACACCTGTGCCCTTAACCAGAATAAGCATGTCCCTGTGGAGTCAGGTCCAGAGAAGTGGGTCAATATTTACTAACTGAATAATCGATCTTTTAGATTAATTGGCTTAGCCAGAGAGACTTTGAGTTTCTCCATTCTTCAGTGTCTAAAACATAGATGTAGAGAAGAACTCTGCATTCCTGCCCAGTCCCTGCTTGGTTAAAGGAACTTTTTTCCAAACAGAAGCCACAGCATGCCCCCTTGGGAGCAGAGCCCTTAGGATACTGGGGCAGATACTGGCCTGATGCAGTTGCTACCTCTCCACTAGTATTTGTGTGGCTCTTTGGGCAAACATACAAGGAAGAAATAGAAGTTTAGAGACTATTCATATATTTTGATGAACTTTTCTCTTCCTTACAAGCAAATCTGCTGGCATTGTAAATCCCAGAGATTATTACCACTTTCCCTTTCAGTGACACATTTTATTTTACATTTGATGAATGTCATCCAATTATTTGCTCTGGGCCCATCCGTCATGCTAAACACAGAATTAGCTGGGTCTTTTCCTTACTAATGACTGGCTCATTAATCTGATTTTCTGGATTTCCATTTTACAGGTTTAATTGGGCTCCTGGCCAGTGAAAATGATTCCTTTGGACAAATGCATTTGGTCATTAAACACATCTGTCTCTTCTGACTTGTTCCCGCTCTTGCCGTGACCAAGCCTAACCTGAAATATCCCTTATCTTTTCATTTCTCCTTGCTTCTAGATGATGACTTGCCTTGGAGGAGAGAAAGAAATCTATCCCCAGAATGGAACCAAACAGCCTTGAGTAATTTCCTATCCTCCTTTGGGGATTTAACAGTTGATACTGCTTCTGTCATAGATAAGAGAAAATCTGTAACATCTCTAGAATTTTAAGTGAGCATATGGTAATATGGGGAGAAAGACAGAGACTAACGTTTTTAAGTGCCCATTATGGGTTGAGTACTTTACAGTCATTATTTAATATCAACAATAATAAGTATTACTATCAATATTAGGAGCTCTAGTGGTGCAACAGTTAAGCGCTCAGCTACTAACCCAAAGTTTGGCAGCTCGAACCC